ATTTCAATGTTTGTTAAAAATCATTCAACCCAACACATTTTCATTTTTATGTATGCATGTATGTGTATGTGTGTGTACGTGTATATGTATATATATGTGTATATATATATATATATATATATATATATATATATATATGTGTATTTAGGCAGCAATCCTTCTTTCATACATGTTTCATTAAAGACAACAGATAAGGTACTGCGATTAAGCTTTTTATTCAATTTTTCTTCTGTTTGAACAAGTGTTTTCTTTTCTGGACACAGAGTGTGTAGAAAATGTCCAAATAATTATATAGATCGCACTACTATGTGCCTAGCCAGATGACTATATATATATATATACACACAAATACAAAAATATATATATATATACACATGCACATAAACACACACACATATATATATCTATGTTTCTGTGTGTTTATGTACGTGTATATATATATATGTATAATATATATGTCTGTGTTTAAGTGTGTGTGCACAATGTATGTGTGTATATAATATATTTGTGTGTTTATGTGTGCATATATAATATGTGTATATATGTGTGTGTTTATGTGTGTATATATATATTATATATGTGCGTTTATATATGGGGTATATAAATATATATATATGTGTGTTTATGTGTGTGTGTGCATATAATATATATGTGTGTATATAATGTATGTGTGTATATATATATATTATGTGTATATATAATATATGTGTGTGTTTATGTGTACATGCATATATAACATGTATGTGTGTGTTTATGTGTGTATATTTAATACGTGTGTGTATAGGAATGTATGTATCGTTTGTTTCTTTTCTTTAATTCATAATTTGCAAAATGCAGATTCTAAGCAGTTTTCAAGAACAACTTCTGACCATTGAAAGTGACTCTGATGTTGAACTGATCAACCAATGAAGAACGGTACTCAGAAAAATAGTATCTTGCTTCATGCTTGCACAAATTTTTACCTATCATTTCGCAAACTCCCAAAACCTGTGTCTGCCATATGGGAATGATGTTCACACAGTCAATTTGAATTATTTTTTTTTTAATTTTAACATTTTGTTTCTCCACTCACTCTTTCTTTTTAAGAAATCTTTTTTGCATCCATCTTTTTTTATGCAAGTCTTCTCTTCAGTGTTGCTTATAAATGATATTCAAGTCTGTCTCACAGTCAGCTTTGCTGTGTTAAAGTTCAGTTACTGTCTACCTTGAAAACAACATCTCAGATTATAATCAACTCTAGTCTACTGATATTCACACCTGTGCACATGAAAGAATAGCAACCAGAATATGGTTGGAGAAAGAAAGATAAGTCAACTGACATGCCCAAACATATATGCAGGACATTAATTCTAAGATGAATGACTTCCTTTCAATGCCAGTTGATTCCTTATAGACTAGGTAAGAAAAGAAGTTTTCACTTCTACAAATAAAAAATTGTCATGTATTTGCAATGCATGAAGTTTTAAATTTAAATAGGGAGAAGGTTATTTAAGCAATAATTATTTCCTTTAATAGAGGATCCTTATTTTAAATAACAATGGTCTTTTGAACAGGAGTAGAGGTTTATCCCTTGTTTCCTGTTTAGGATTGGGTTTCCCATTCCCCTGGTTCTCATTCTTTTTTACTACCAGTAACCCTTTGCATCTTAGTGGCACTGTCATCTTGCATGGGGTGAATTGATTAAAACAAATATTAAAGAAATTTAATATTGCTAGAAAATGAATTGCTCATGTGCTTATCTATGACTTTGGGTTCAATTCCTAACAGAACAGAAAGTGAGTAGAGTTCAGAATCAAGTATAAAAAGAAGGAGTTAATAATAAAAAAGAACTCTATCAAATTGGAATGAGTGTTCTGTTTAATTTTATTGTGTATATTACAAATGACGATACTAATGCTTATAGAAATATAATCAATATAATTTCCATTGCTTTCTAGAACCTCAATCTGTCAACAAAATCATAGATTCCACATTTGTAAAATTTTTTAGGTTTTGATGTAAAATACAAGAACTTATGTTTAACCTCTTTTCTTAATGTCAACCTTAGACCATGCAAATGGTTCTACAAATCTCGAAACAAATGGTAATCAGAAGGAGCAAGGTTGTAAGAATATGGAGATTAGAGAAATTTTTCCCAACCAAGCAGATCTAAGAGCTCTTCACTCAATCATGCCATATGAGAATGGGCATTATATTGAAGGAGGATTATCCCAACCTTTTACTAAATAAGGATGGATGGTTTCTGTCCAAAGCTGCTTTCAAATGACAAAGTTGTTGACTGTAGATATCAATGTTGATTGTTAGACTATTGTCTAACAGTTCATGATGGATAATTCCTTGAATATCCCACCATACACTCTAAAGGATCTTCTTTAGATGAAGTTTTCTTCCCTATTGATGAGCGGGTCTATTTTCTTGACTGATCTCCTGCTAGTTTTTAACATTATGGTAAAGGATCCATTTCTCATCACCAGTAACAAGCCTGTTTAAAAAGAGCATTTGAAGTTGTCATGCAAGCAATAAATCACAACAATCAATACATTGGAGACAGGTCATGTAGGATCCATTCTCTAACCATGGAAACTATTCAAGTCCTTTTCAATTTGTATAGGATTGTTGTATGAATAACATTAAATTTCTCCCTGAGTTATCTAGTGGCAGGATTTGCTGTAAGAGCAGCTTCCAAATCCTCTGAATTGAGTCCTTTTGGATGGCCCTCTCTTGGCTCATTCTCTAAACTAAAATTTGCAGTTTTGAAAAAAGAAAGTCACCTTCTGCAATTTCTTTCACTCAATGCATTGACCCCATATGTACACTGGACAGATTTCGTTGCTGCACTTGTATTGATACCTTATAGTGTACAACATTTCAGATGTGTTCTTTAGTTGGGACAAACATGGTGCAATTTCTGCATAATATTATGAATAATATCCTCATAAACTGAAATGAAAAGATATAAATTACTCAAACTAGCATTACTAAACAAAATAAAGAAGCCATACTTTAATAGATTTTGTTCAACATTTTTACCTCAAACTGGAATTTTGTTCCAACCTGATATTCAGAGGTCAGTAATGTCTAATTCTTTAAAAACTGATGAGCTGATGAGTGATTTGAATCAAAGAAGTGATTGACAGGAGCACTTAGATATGTGGGTTTTATCTTACAGTTGGCACTTTAAAGGGAATAATTTGAAAATACTTGGAAAGAAAAGCAAATTATTTTTAATTATTTTATATGTAAAATATATAAAATCTGATGTAATATATCAAAACCTGTTATATTCCGTGCTAATAGAAATATATACTTGAACAACATGGTGGATAAATAAATAAAGGTTTATTGTGAAGTCAGTACAATAAGAAATGAGGTAACAGTTATGTGCATGATCATCGCAAGTCAATCCAGTAGTGAGTGCTACTATTGGAAGGTCAATAGTTTTTGCGTAAGTCTGAGTCGTACTCAACAGATCCCAGCCAGACTCTGTAGTCCATTGACTTACCGATGCTTATAGGTAGCTACTACCTATAGTGTAGTTACTCATGGAGGTGACAAGCTATTCCATTACATCAAAACCTTTAACACTTGCCAAACATAAACAGGTGAAGATAACTAACAAAAATATTAGAAAACAATTACAATTTGGTTAACTAATAAAAATGTGTTAATATTTAGTTCAATATTTTTTCACATTGTTATCAGAATTTTGTTGCTTATTTTCAGGAATAAGAGTCAAGCATGTACTTTTCTTGGCATTCTACATTCGCAAGTTCAATATTTTTCCTATTCTTTAAAACATTTGTTTAGAGAAAACACTTATTGCTAAACATATATTTGACTTTCTCTTTCCATTGTTTTTTTTAAACAACTATTATCATCTTAATTCATGGGTTAAAATAGATGACAAATAATGTCAAACAACTCAAGAATAGTTTGTAAGACATTGACAAAACTCAAAAGATCTCATTCTTGCTGAACAGTAGATATTTGGAGATTTCTTTATATATTTTCTATTTTTTCTTTTGTACTGAATATGTTATTTTTGAATATCCAGTTCCTCAAACAGCAATACTAAATAAAGAATTCTAATCTGTCCTAAGATAAAGTAATTCATGTTATCCAAATTTCTATAATACATTTATCATATGAACAAATACAGGGAATATAATAATGATTCAAATTTAATATTTGTTTTTGCAAAAAATCTCATGCAAATATTAACATTAGATGTATGCCTTGAAGATAGAAAGGGACATTTTAGCTTCATTCACAATAACTGACAAAAAGTGAGTTTTGATTTTGATGCATAAAAACTAATATATTAATAATTAAAAAGTAATTATATTATGAATGGATGAAAATCACCATAGCAACAGCAGTTTAACAAATTTAACAATCAATTTTGGCAATCTTTGAGCAAACATTTTAACAAATTTTAATATTTATTCCATATTTTATCCATTGAAAATAAAGAATAAAGGTATTGTCAGTGGTCAGGAATTAATAAAAGTGTTATGGACAGAATAAGGCTATTATAGCTGTAATCGATAAACATTTACAATAGAAATGAATTGTAAATAATTTTACCATAGATATTCATTGCAGATCAATAACCAAAGGTATTTTCAGTGGTCAGGAATTCCTGTAAGGGTTACTAACAGAAAATATTCTATTATATCTGTAAAATATAAATATTTACTATGGAAATGAATTGTAAATAATTTTACTGTAGATATTCATTGCAAATCTGAAATAAAGGTACTGTCTGTGATCAGGAATTAATGCAAGCATTTCCAATAGATAGGACTATTTCCTTTTCTTACTTTTTTTCAAGTGCACATCAAAGTTTCCAATAATCTATAATAACATATAATTTTTTTTTCTTCTTTCATGGATTTAATAAAAGAAAATGAAGATGTATGACCTTTTGTTCTGCAAAGAAATAACATTCTAATCCTTTAACTTAAAAATTAAACCAACTTTTGGATGCCTATAGTAATTTATAGGCAACAAATTTCCCCTTGGATTGCATCATTTCTGAAAAAGATTGCATTAGGATATGAATGTGTTGTTAAAAATAAGAAGCAGAGCATATCAGGGCAAATATCAATCTTGAAACATCAGATAGAAAGAAATAAAATTCTAAACTCAAGGAAGGTTTGCTTTTGTGTAGTAGCCAGCAAGAATCAGTATTAAATCAAAAGATCTCAAGTCAATATTAAAGCAGAGAAATCTGTCACAGATACCAGAATAGAGAAAGTGGTTAGAAAGAAAAATAAGGAAAATATATAAGAAGCATGAAAAATATTGAGAAATAGTAAGTTTTGGAAAATCATCAAGCTGTGCATGGTTCATGAGGAGCCAAGGTAACGATAGTGGAGCGTTAAGACATCGATGCTTCATTACAAATTGTTCTTGGTTAGATTTATGTTTCTTCTTAGAGGAGGGATAAACTAAAATGTAAAGTATAGGGAACCAGGAAAGAAATAATCCTTAAAGAAAGAAACATAAAAATTGGAGAGAGAGAGGGAGAGAGAGAGTAGGAGTATATGAGTTTTTGCTGCTGGAATTTCAAAATTAAAAAAGGAGAGTAAGGAGAACTGATAAACAAGGCAATGAAAGAGGGAATATTAGGAATGAGGTAATAAACTGAAATAAAAAATAGTTAAAAAAGAAAGACAGAACAAAAAAAAAAGAGGCTATCAAGAAAGAGAGAGAGAGAGAGACTTAACATGAGTTTAGTAATGAGTATAATGAGTAAAATTATACATAAAGGAGAGTAAGAAGAAAAGAGGAAAGAAATTAAAGGAACAAAGGGTTGCTGACAAAGTAGCAAGTAAACACTAAGGATTAGTGGAGTGTTATAAAAAATAGAAAACAAACATGAAGGAAATGAAATAAATAAGAAGTAATGCATTTAATAAAAATAAACTATTTGGGAATGTGAAGCAGTAGAAATTAAGTAGAAATGGAGAGCAATCATGAAGGAGAAAAATAATGAAGTAAGAATGAAATACAAAAGCATTTGATAAAAATAAACAATCTGATAAAGAGTAGAGAGTAAGTAGAAATGGAGAGCAAGCAGGAAGTTTGATAGCAACAGCTTCATAAAAGACAGTACGGATGATGGAGATAAAAAGAAAGCATATGAAAGATGGCTTTTCTTACCAGGATTTATAAATATTAAAATACAGAGTATAGATATATATACAGAAAAGGTATGTAAAGAGAAAGTTGATAGTTTATCAAATAAAGAGTAGTCAGTAAAAAGAAAGGGGGAGAAATAACAAGAGAAGAAAAATGTGAAAATGAATTCTGAAAAGAAAAATAAAAGGGGAAAATGATGTTTTGTGGAGTGTGAAGCAGAGAAGAGAAATTACTCTCCAATATCTCATTCTTGACTTTGTTTAAATATATCAGAATAAAAATGAAGAGCAAGTTGAGATGGAATGTAGATAAAGTGGAGAGACTTTACTCCTTCTCATTCTTTCCTTCTTAATCTCTCAATCTTACCCTTCTGCTCAAAAATGGCCACCCAGGAATAAAAGCAGAGAATGTGAAGAGCAAGCAAGAATGGGAAAAACGCAAATGATGAATGTAAAAAGTAATTGCAAGTAGATGGGGACAATGGCTTAACCAAAAAAGCAGTTGATGAATTCACCAAAATTTTGTATATTTCTGCTATTCTTTAAAGTTTTTTTTTAAATTTTTGTGAAAAAATTCAAATTCATAGATCATGATGCAAAATGTAAAAGCTATGGAAATAATTTCCCCCTTGAAAATATATAGAGGAAATTTTCTGATGTGTCATTCTTCCAAAGGTGCATCTGATGTTGAGGCAATAGACTTCAAATTACTTATTTTGTAATTCTTTATATCTCTGATTTTATTTGTTTATAATGTTTTACTTTAGTAAATGCTTAGCAGCAGTTTGTCATCTTTATCATTTATCAATATGTAAAGAACTAAAAGAAAAACTTTTTTGAGAGCTATCACTAATATTTCAGCCAAATTATTTCTACAGGTAGTTAGGTGTGTTTTCTTGGAAATCAATGTTTTTTACAGGTTTCATCTATCAAACATTTCTGTGTAAAATTGTGATATGAGATATTGTTAATAATCAATAACTCTTTGTCCTCACAACTAGCATGTCATTTTTGTTGTTTTTATTCTAACAGATAAAAACATTAGTTTCTGGTGACAATTTTGTTTGATTCCTCTGAATGCCAAAGTAGGCCAATAAAGGGGATGGTGAAATAACTTACAAATTCGGACAAGGATCCAGCAACAAAATCGGGCCAATGGTGCATGGTAAATGGCCAGGTAATAGACAACACCTGATTCCAAGAACATCCAAAATGATTGTGGACATACAGAAGCCCAGGAGGAGAAACTAAAAACCAAATAAACTACATAACTATCAACAAGACATTCAGTGCCGACTACAGAAGCGATCACCTCCCTGTTATATGTAAACTAAGAATGAAACAAAAAGGAAAAATATATGGACAGAGCGAAAAGAAGATATGAGGGACACAATGGAAAAGGAAACTTGAAATGAGACACACTAAGAGAAGCTTTAGTGACATCAGTAAATGAGATCATCCCAAAGGAAAATGAATAAAGAAGAAAAATGAATGGATGACAAATGAGATTCTTGACATGATGCAAAGGAAACAGAAAACAATGCCAAGACATGGAACAGAATATAGAAAACTACACAATGAAATAAGGAACAAATGCAGACAAGTTAAAGAAGAATGGCTCAACAAAAAATGTGCAGAAAAAGAAAGAATGAGTATCACATGTAAAAAAGATATGCATAAAAAATAAGAGAACTATCAGGACAAAAGATATGCTCATTAACAGGCTGCATAAAATCCAAGGACAGAACACTGATATTAGAGAAAAAGAAAATACTACAGAGATGGCATGATTATATAGGAGAACTCTTCCACAACGAAATACACAGAAATACTGAGGGACTAGAAATATTAAAAACTGAAGTGGGAGCTGCACTAGTCAAATTGAACAGGAACAAAGTGGCTGGGCCAGACAGAATTGCAATAGAGATGCTGGCAGCCTTAGATGACTTTGGCATAGACAAGATCACAGAAATAATAAATGGGATCTATAACAGTGGGGATATACCAGAAGACCTAATCAGATCTATTTTTGTAGCATTGCCTAAGAAACCAGGCACAAATGAATGTAAACTCCATTGGACAGTCAGCCTAATGAGCCACATAAAACACATCATACATATTCTGATGGATAGAACATGCAGCAGAATCAGGCCAGAGATAGGACAAGAATGGTGCAAGTTCATCAAAGACACTGGAACAAGGAATGCAATATTTATGCTCATAATGATATCAGAAAGAGAAATACAAATGCAGGACATGTACCTGTGTTTTAAAGGCATTCAACAAAGTGCACCACAAAGAGCAGCTCAGCAACTTTGATATATTTGGGAAAGACATTAGAATAATCAAGAATCTATACTGGCAGCAAACCACATTTATACAGACAGAAAATGAGTTCATCAGATATACAAAAATAGAAAGGGGTGTAAGATAAGGATGTGTCTTCTCACTGGTCTTATTCAACTTATACAGCAAGGCAGTTTTGAGAGAATTAAAAGTCCTACCAGGATTTATTACTGGAGGATATAATCTTAACAATATAAAATATGCAGATGACACAGTGCTGATAGCAGATACAGAAAGAAAACTACAAAACATCTGACAGAAGGTAGCAAAGGAAAGCGAGAAGAAAGTACTAAGCGTAAACTATAAGAAGACAGAAGGCATGGTTATCAGCAAAAGGGTGAGCCCAAAATGAAAATTACAGGTCAGGGACACTAAAATCAAGCAGGTACAGACATTTAAATATCTGTGAAGTGCTTTAACAGAGGACAGAAAATGTGACACTGAGATCCATAGACATATTGGGATGGCTAAAGATGCATTCCAAAAGCTAAGCAGAGTATCAAGAGAGAGAAAAATTTTGTTAAAAACAAAGAAAAGAATATTGAACTGTTTTATGATATCTGTCTAGTATGGCAGCAAATAATGGACAATCTTCTCAAAAATGAAGAAGAGACTTGAAATGTGGTTCTACAGAAAGATGCTGAGGATATCATGGACTGAACATGTGAACAACAATGAGGTATTGGAGAGAATGGAAATGAAGAGGAAACTTAACATCAGGGAGAGACAGTTGAAATTTCTGGGGCATGTAATAAGGAAAAAAGTCTTGGAAAATCTGATATTCACAGGACAGATAGAGGGAAAGAGAGACAGAGGAAAGCAATGCATAACATATTTGATGGGCTTGAGCAAATGGATAGTGGGACAGGGTTTGGGAGAAATAACAAAAAAAAAACAAAATGAAAGGGAGTGGAGGGTCATGATTGCCTAAGACCTGAAGGGACATGGCATATAAAAGAAAGAAGAAGGCTATCCATTCACCAGTATGTGAGTTTTTAAAGTACAATAAACAGACTGAATACATCAGAAAAGAACCAGTATAGAAAGATCATTAATTAAAACTTTTGAATAAGATGGTATTGGTTCAATCCTGGCGATTACGCCAAAAGAAGCTCATAGAATACAAATAACAAATATGAAAATGCCAGTGCAAAAACTCATTGAATGATGTAAAGTAGAAACAAGATAACGAAAGATTAGGAAGAATAAAGAAAGATGAAGCAGGATGAAGAATGTTGATGAACATATAGATTGAAAAATGATGATGACGAAACAGAAGATGAAGAAAAAGGTTAAAGAAAGATGATGATGAAAATTGTTGAAGAAGCAGATAACGAATAATGAAGAAGAAAAAAATTGAAGAAAGATGAAGAAGATAAAGGCTGAAGAATGAAGATGAAGAAGGTGAAGAAAAAGGTTGGAGATTCAGGTGAGGAAAGACATCGACAAAGAGTGAAGAATTTGAAGAAGAGGTTTAAATGTCTTAGATTTCATTATAAAGAATAACAATTGTAATGTGGTACTTATCTCCCCTTCTGGCTAGATCTTTATAAAAGGAAGAGAAGATAAGACATACGTGAAGCAGGCAGATAACTGACATAACAATGGTGATGATACCTGAGTCCACAAATTTTCATCTGGATGAAGAACCCACTTCTCTTGGTCAAGAATGGATGAAATGGACTACTAGACTTGAAAATTTATTTGTGGCATTGGATATCTACACAGAAAATGACAAAAAGTGTTGAGACTACATTATCCTGGGACACAAGTGAGTGATATGGGAGACATAAAAAAAAACTTACGTTGTGGCTCAAAAAAAAATTGTCTGTATATTTTCAGTCATAAAAAACGTTATTTTTGAAACATACAAATTCAAAACATTGGAACAAGGAGGAAAGGTGGTCAATAAATATATGTCGCAACTTCAACAGGCAGGTATGTGTTGTGAATTCCATGACTTAAATAAAGAAATAAAAGATTAGATTGTCTACAACGAAAATTCTGATCCACTTCGTCAATTAGCTTTATGAGAGGATCTTAATCTAAATAACCTCTTAAAAGCTTCATGCTCTATCAAAATGTCTGCACTTACTGAAGCTAGTCAAAAGATGGAAACTGTATGTAAGGCAAAATTCAAACCACGTAAATTCAGCCAAAATGCTTAGAGAACACAGTCTCATTTGTGTTTTAATTGTGGTGGAAAATGGCCCCATCTTGGTGGTAAAAACATATGTCCAATGGTTGGGAAAAAATGTACTAATTGTGATAAATATGGCCACTTTCCAAAAGTATGCAGGTCAAACCCAAAAGTTCAGACACTTCTTGAAGAGATAGACTCTGATATTTCTGATTGCAATATTAAAAATAAGAATAAACTAACGGTAAACAAAATTGACACCAAAATTCAAATAAAGATAAATGGAATAAAGTTGATTATGTAGATTGACTCTGGAGATAATGTAAATATAACAAACTCTCAGGAGTATAAAAAACTAAGAAAGATCATTACTTTAAGAAAAACATATGCCAAATTATTCGCATATATGGATAGTACCCGCCACCCACGAAAATTTTAGGGACCTTTAAAGCAGCATTGAATCCACACATAGGCTACATGTTGCTGATTTTTATATAGTGGAAAGTAGTAAAGAGTCCTTAATTAGTTCACAAACAGCAGTAGATATTGACATATTAAAATTTATTAAAAAGGTTAGCAACTCCACTAGCATGGATAAATTGCTAAAAAAATATAATGACCTTTTGAATGGAATAGGCAAAATGAAGGGTGGACAGGTCAAACTACACACAGATAAAAATATAATGACCCTTTGAATGGAATAGGCAAAATGAAGGGTGGACAGGTCAAACTACACACAGATAAAAATATAATGACCCTTTGAATAGAATAGGCGTAATGAAGGGTGGACAGGTCAAACTACACGCAGATAAAAATATGATGACCTTTTGAATGGAATAGGCAAAATGAAGGGTGGACAGGTCAAACTACACGCAGATAAAAATATGATGACCTTTTGAATGGAATAGGCAAAATGAAGGGTGGACAGGTCAAACTACACACAGAAAAAAAAATAATGACCTTTTGAATAGAATAGGCAAAATGAAGGGTGGACAGGTCAAACACACAGAAAAAAAATAATGACCTTTTTGATAAAAATATAATGACCTTTTGAATAGAATAGGCAAAATGAAAAAAAGAAGTGGACAGGTCAAACTACACGCAGATAAAAATATAATGACCTTTTGAATGGAATAGACAAAATGAAGGGTGGACAGGTCAAACTACATGCAGATAAAAATATAATGACCTTTTGAATGGAATAGGCATAATGAAGGGTGGACAGGTCAAACAGATAAAAATATAATGACCTTTTGAATGGAATAGGCAAAATGAAGGGTGGACAGGTCAACCTACATGCAGATAAAAATATAATGACCCTTTGAATGGAATAGGCAAAATGAAGGGTGGACAGGTCAAACTACACACAGATAAAAATATAATGACCCTTTGAATGGCATAGGCGTAATGAAGGGTGGACAGGTCAAACTACACACAGATAAAAATATAATGACCTTTTGAATGGAATAGGCAAAATGAAGGGTGCACAGGTCAAACTACATGCAGATAAAAATATAATGACCCTTTGAATGGAATAGGCAAAATGAAGGGTGGACAGGTCAAACTACACATGAAAAAAAATATAATGACCTTTTGAATGGAATAGGCAAAAATGAAGGGTGGACAGGTCAAACTACACACAGATAAAAATATAATGACCTTTTGAATGGAATAGGCATAATGAAGGGTGGACAGGTCAAACTACACGCAGATAAAAATATAATGACCCTTTGAATGGAATAGGCGTAATGAAGGGTGGACAGGTCAAACTACACGCAGATAAAAATATAATGACCTTTTGAATGGAATAGGCAAAATGAAGGGTGGACAGGTCAAACAACATGCAGATAAAAATATAATGACCCTTTGAATAGAATAGGCAAAATGAAGGGTGGACAGGTCAAACTACACACAGATAAAAATATAATGACCCTTTGAATGGAATAGGCGTAATGAAGGGTGGACAGGTCAAACTACACACAGATAAAAATATAATGACCTTTTGAATGGAATAGGCAAAATGAAGGGTGCACAGGTCAAACTACATGCAGATAAAAATATAATGACCCTTTGAATGGAATAGGCAAAATGAAGGGTGGACAGGTCAAACTACACGCAAAAAAAATATAATGACCTTTTGAATGGAATAGGCAAAATGAAGGGTGGACAGGTCAAACTACACACAGATAAAAATATAATGACCTTTTGAATGGAATAGGCGTAATGAAGGGTGGACAGGTCAAACTACACGCAGATAAAAATATAATGACCCTTTGAATGGAATAGGCGTAATGAAGGGTGGACAGGTCAAACTACACACAGATAAAAATATAATGACCCTTTGAATGGAATAGGCGTAATGAAGGGTGGACAGGTCAAACTACATGCAGATAAAAATATAATGACCTTTTGAATGGAATAGGCAAAATGAAGGGTGGACAGGTCAAACTACATGCAGATAAAAATATAATGACCCTTTGAATAGAATAGGCAAAATGAAGGGTGGACAGGTCAAACTACACACAGATAAAAATATAATGACCCTTTGAATGGAATAGGCGTAATGAAGGGTGGACAGGTCAAACTACACACAGATAAAAATATAATGACCTTTTGAATGGAATAGGCAAAATGAAGGGTGGACAGGTCAAACTACATGCAGATAAAAATATAATGACCCTTTGAATGGAATAGGCAAAATGAAGGGTGGACAGGTCAAACTACACGCAGAAAAAAATATAATGACCTTTTGAATGGAATAGGCAAAATGAAGGGTGGACAGGTCAAACTACACACAGATAAAAATATAATGACCCTTTGAATGGAATAGGCAAAATGAAGGGTGGACAGGTCAAACTACACGCAGATAAAAATATAATGACCCTTTGAATGGAATAGGCAAAATGAAGGGTGGACAGATCAAACTACATGCAGATAAAAATATGATGACCTTTTTCAATGGAATAGGCAAAATGAAGGGTGGACAGATCAAACTACACACAGATAAAAATGTTAAACCAGTCTCCCAACCTTATTGCCATGTTTTGTTCCCCTTAAGAGAAAAATGTGAGGCAGAAAATCAATGTCTTCAAGTTGCGAGCATAATTGAGAAAGTAGATGGACCAACTGATTGGATCTCACCTACTTTGTTATTGTTCTTAAGAAAACCGGTGATATTTGATTTTGTTTAACCAAATAAAACTATAAAAAGAACAAGACATTTTATTTCTATACTTGAGGCAGTTCATCATCAGTTAAATAGTTCAAATTGTTTCTCAATGTTGGAACTAAATAATGGTTTTCACCAACTCGAGTTACGATAGTTGAAATATTACTGCTTTCTCTTCTCATGTTGGCCTTTGTTGATATTGTAGACTAAACTTTGGAACGAATTTGGATGACCAAATTTTTCACAAAGAATTACAAAGAATAGTTTCATATATACTGAGTGTGTTTAATATTCACAAAGATATTTTTTGTTTTTGGGAAGGACAAAAACATTGATGTAGCACTTGAAAAATTTTTTTGAAAGATTACATGCCTCTGAACTGACTTTAAATAAGCAGAAATGCATTTTTAATTCTGATAATATAGATTTATTGGTGTCAAATTTTTGGTGAATGGTATGAGCCCTGTTTCAAATAAAGTAGGCTGAACGACCAAAAAAACCTGATACCTTGGAATAATAAACTTTAGTGCTCCCTTTATACAGAACTTTTCTTCAAAATCTATGAAACTTTGTGAACTACTTTATAAGGAGACAAAATGGATTTGGATTACATCAAAAAGCATTCAATAGGCTAAACAGTGCCTTAACAAAAGAAACAGTAATGGGATACTACTCTCCATTGACACATACTGAGGTAATTTGTGATGCTTCTCCTGCAGGACTGGGTGCTATGATTGTGCAGAAATAAATAGACAAAACATACAAATAGCATACGCCAGTCAATATTTAATATCCAAGAACAGAGGTACAGCCAATTTGAGCATGAATCTCTAGGATTGTTGCTTGCGTGTGTTCATTTTCAATTGTGCCTATTATGAAAAATTTTGATTTGATTACTGATCATCAACTTTTACTTCCTCTGTTTGACAAACCCTGAAAAGCATCGCCTTTTCAAGTAGAAAGGATGCACTTAAAATTGGATTTCATGTTCATGTTAAACATCATCCTGGGAAGCACAATCCAACCGACTACATTTCTCATCATCCATTGCTGCTGTCTAATGTTTCAAAAGAGAAGTTGAAAATAGCTGAAGACTTACAAACTTATGTTCATAATATTATTATTACTGATTTACTTACTGCAGTGACTGTTGGGGATGTTAAATCAACTACTGAAAGTGATAACATTTTATCAGAGACTGCAGAACAACAAATCATGTAAAAATACAAGTGAAATGAGGCCTTACCTTCCAATATGGCGGAGGGGGGTGAATTCTCCATTGAATCTGATATTGTGTTGCGGGGTGATTGAATCATTATTCCTGCTGCTTTGCAGAAAAAGATTGTAAATGTAGCACATGAAAGTCACATGGGATTCATAAAAACTAAGCAATTATTTCATTCCAAGCTTTGGTTTCTTCAGCTAAGTTAGTAAATGATGCAATCAAGAGCTGTCTCTCTTATCAAGCAACTATGTATCAAAATGTTTTTGGACTTGTACCCAATGGGGAATATTTGCTTGTAATTTCTGATGAATACAGTAGATATCCAAAGGTGGAAATTGTTGCTTGAATAAAGACTAAAGTTGTTATACCAACACTCTCAATCTTAGACTTTGGTATTCCTAAAAATTTAAAAACAGAAAATATACCTCTTTGGAAGAGTGAGACAATTAAGAGCTTTGCAAAAGTCCTTGGTTTCCATTATCAACCTGTGACACCTGTCTGGCCACAACCTGAAAACTTCAAATGAACCTTGCCTAAACTGATACAGACTGCTAAAATAGAAGGAAAAAGCTGGAAAGCAGAACTGTATCAATTTCTGAGAAATTATTGTTCCATGCCACACCCATCTACAGGACACAGTTCCAGATGAACTTATGTTACAGGGCAACTGTTTAGAGAGAAGCTTCCTGAAATTCAACAGAAATATGGTGATCAAGAAATAAGGCAAACTAATGCTAATACGAAACAGAACATGAAGTATTATTAAAACAAAAAAGAAATACCAAAACATAAAGATATCAATTAGAGACATGGCATTAGTTAAACAACCAATGTGAAAAAAATGTACACCTCCTTTCAATACATCACCATAAGTTATCATGGCAAAAAAAGGGATGATGATAACTACAACATCAACCACCCAGGGTAAAATTATAAGGAATTGTTTGCATTTTAAGAAATTGTGAAAAAGATACATTAACATGGATGTGGAACAAGTGATAGGTGAAGAAAAAGAGGTACTTGCAAGTGTACACAGATATCCCCTTCAAGAGAGAAGACCACCTCTAAGATTGGATATCTAGTAACATTCTCAATAAAGTAAAAGGGGAGATATAATGTGGTACTTATCTCCCCTTCTGGAGAGATCTCTATAAAAGGAAGATAAGATAAGATGTACATGAAGCAGGCAGATAGCTGACATAATGAGAATGAAAAATGTTGTTGGAGAATAAAAGAACGAAGAGTGTTGATAAATGAAAAAGGTAAAGATGCTTGAAGGAAAAAATGGTAAAGGAAAAAAAATGAAGAAAGATGTTTAAGAGGACAATAAAAAGATAAAGCAAAATGAAAGAAGAAACTGAAGGAAAAAATTGTAAAAAAGATATTTAAAGAAGAAGCAAAAGAGATAATGAAGGAAAATGAAGAAAGATATTAAAAAAGAGGATGAGAAAGCAAACTGTAAATAGAAATGGGTGAAGGGTGAAAAAATGCAAAGGAAGAAGATCTTGAAGGAAAGAGTTAAGAAAGATGTTGAAAAAACAGGATGAAAGATGTTGAAAGAATATTACAAATTCAAAGAGAAACCTGAAAATCCAATAATAATTTTAAATAATCTCTACCAATTGGTTAGCCATTTTTGCTGCATATGATTTTTCTTAAAGATGTCTATCTTTTCCAGGAAAATCTAAGGTAACCATTTTAAGCCTTGAAAAGTATTAAGGCTTAAAATGGTTAACTTAGATTTTCCTGAATTCGAAAATATATTTCTGTCCATTGGCATGAAAAAAAATATTCCGAGGATTACACCTGATTTCAAATTTTAGATCAATTGAAAAAGAAACAGTCAATTTTTGGAAAGGAAACTATCTTTTAAATTATAAATATGACAAAATCAATGAATGTTTGGTTTTAAATGAAATATGAATGTGACCGAAGTAGACAAGATGCAGTCATTATGCAAAATGGTTGCACAGTTAGTAACATTGGGAACAAAAACATGACAGCTCCTAAGTATGAGCTTAACAAATCCATGGAATTCATAGCTAATTATTTTTTGGCTTGAAGGTGAATAAATTTCCTTTACTATTGGCAAAATTGTTTTGAAATGTTCCATTGTTCAAGACTTTTATAAATCTTATTTCACTCTGGGAATATTTAGTGAGTTGATAGAAAGTTTTGTAGCGAATGCCAAGTTAATATTTATATGGATTAATCATGAGTCCCCTAACAAAAAAAGTCTTTACCATTTCAAAATAAATTAATTCAATACTTACATAGATTAGCAGAATAAAAATAATTAAAATGTTATATGTATATGGTTCAAAACAAAAATGATTAAGGCAGAAAAACAGCATAGTTGGTGTAATTTAAAGTTGGTTGATAATGAAAAAGTTCACCTCTGCTGTAGCCAGGTATTGAACTCACAACTCACTGAATCCAACCAATGTTTGAAGGGTGCAAGAGGATAACAACACTCAGAAAGCAACTTGGATCTGCCTACCCTATTTGAAGGGATTATCGGAGAAAATACAAAAGATCAGGATGACCTTCAAAAGTTATTCTACACTTCACAGACACCTTTTCCAAGTAAGATCTTCCATAAAGGAGAACGTGATTAAGGACTGTGTGTATGCCATCCAAAGTCATTGTGATAAGAAATATAAAGGAGAAACTGGCTGCCCCCTTAAGATAAGACAGCAGGAACATCATAAAGCCATAACACAAGGGGAAATAGAAAAATCAGGAGTGACTGACCACATATGGAGGGAAAAGGAAGATAAATGCCCCCTGTAGGATGAGGTTGAAATAATAGACAGAAAACATCACTGGAAAATACAAAAACTTAAGGAATCAGCACATATGCTATGCAACAAAAATCTCCTAAGATGTTTAAGCATAAACATGAATACAATGTGGGAACCAGTAATACAAAGTGCTAGAGAAAAACAATAATAACATCAAATTGTAATATGAGTTCTGCTAAAAAATGACACATTAGGTTTATAAATCTCAAAAAATCATACACTGATATCTTGAAGGATACATGGCCCAGGATAAAAGTTGGTTGAATTCAGTGACTTGATCCAAAGACTTGTGAGTTCCGTACCTGAGGTGAACAAAAACTTAGAGAGTTGAGGTAAAAAATTGTTATTGAGACATTAGGTTTATAAAACTATAACTGATAAAGGAAGGGAGATAACTGATACAACTGATACTGCATATTCTATGCCACAAAATCTCTTAAGCCAGCCAAGCATAGATATGAATACAATATGGCATAAAGATAAAGGGTTCAATTCAAAATTCCAATCACCTGAAGAAGGCCAGAGCATACAACAGTCAAAACGTTGTGAATATGGCAACAAAGATGAGGATACCCGTTTGAACAATGTAAATAGTGTAAATAATTACAATATCTCATCTCAGAAATATAGACAGATATTTATATACTTTTTTAGAACATTTCGATGACAAAATAAGACATTTTGATTGGTCCATTAACTCAGAACTTGGTACTATTGGCTTAGAACTTTTCAGTGCCAAAATAGGACAATTTGATTGGTTCATTATTCTTCCTCTTTATTATTTGGTATGACTCTATATTACATCTGTGTGGAAAATGAATTCAATAAAACTGATTTTTAAATTTATAAAATTGAGGGTAAAAGCATTGTTTCTTGTTATATGTTTATGTCACCCACATTTTCCAGGATCATCTTTTTCACAGTATTAAGGAAATTTAAAAAGCCTCATTAAAGTTTATTCACACCTTCATCAAAATTCAGAAGCTAGGAGAATGGGTTCTACATGACCTTATGCACAGAGTATTGATTTACCCACACACCTACTCAAGTAGAATGTGACACAGGGTCTCATTTAAAGCAGGATGGAAGCCCATGGGACAAGTGAACATGGGACAAAGGACAAAAATTGCTCAAGCCGTCTCAATACTTCTTTTGGTGATATTGCATGTGCCATGAAAGAATAGTTCCCCTGAAGAATGAACTGTCAGTGTATAAAAAATTTCTTTTCTTACTTGACTTAGAAAAATATATTTGGGGATAAGATATTCAGTAGGAATAAAAAATGAATTCTTTATAAGAATGGAAAATGAAGAAGATCATAGGTGTTCTTTTCAGTGTTTTTTTGAGAAATCAGAGAGCCAAGTTCAAATTCCAGTCAGATCTATTACATTCACTTACGTGCTAATACCCTTGGGAAAACCATGAATCCTCTTCTTCTCCCCCAGCTATGGGTAAATAGCAGGACAGCCCGGGTTCTATAGCCTTGGGTGGCAACTGGTCTACTGCAGAAAGAAATGGCAACCTACTGTGGGAAAAAAAGCTGCCTTGTTAGTCATGTATCAAAAGATACATGATTGCCTAAGTGTGTATCCCGCATGGCACATAACTGACTGACAGCGCTGGCCAAACACTATAAGAATGAATAGAAAGGTTTACAGCCATATCATATTGAAACATTGGTTTCTGTATGATCCCTGAAATTAACCAACATTGAACCTGGTCAGTACCTAGATAGGTGACCACTTGGGAATATCAGGAGCAGTAAGCTTGGGTGTATGGGTGGTGTAATGAACAATGGCTCAGAATTGTTAATCAGAGAGCCGTGTTCCAATTTCCTTTTCAGTTCTTTATATTCACTTTTGTGCAAATACCTTTGCACAAAATCCATCTCTTCTTCTCCCAACTATGGGTTAATTAGTAAGACTTGTATCACTAAATCATTATTATCTCCAAAAAAAAAATTGCATACAAAATATTTAGATATCTGTGTTAAATAACCCATAGAAGTGTTGATATGTCACTAAACAAAAACAACCACTGAATAGAAAAATTGTATTTAAGAGAAAGAAGAAAATTCTCTTTGTAAAATACTTGACTTGACAATAAACTGTGTTCACTGTTACTCTGTCGGAGAAATTGTTATAGCTCCCTTCAGGTTGGTGCTTTTCTGAAAAATCCCTGTTGCTGAGATCAACCACAAATTTGTTTCATAGTGATGGTTCCTTAACTAGAAAGTTGGTGTTTTCCACAAGATTATACAATACTGGAATATAGATTTCTATATTCTTGCTAGGTTGGTGAAATACAGCTCTGGTCATTTATAATGTTGACTTTTGGATTAAAAGGATTAACATTCTGAATGACACTGTTTATGGAATCTTCCAGTTGGTCAAGGTCTGTAACAATTTTGAAGGATTCATATATTTACTCAGTGACCTTATTGACACTCTTAAAATATAAATAAAAATTTTGTAAAAACCATCTGGAAACTTTTGAAGTATAATTCTTGTAATTATATTTATTGCAAGTGCTTCTATTCTCCTCCTCCTCCTCCTCCTCCTCATCATCATCACCATCATCAGTAGTAGTAGTAGTAGTAGTAGTAGTCCTATGACCAGATGTGCTCATAAGGTAACTGTGCACCTGAATATCATTTATTTGGGTTGAAAGCCAAAGAGATATTCATTTATGTGTGCCATAACTTGGGTAAGTAGACCTGGTGGTGTTCATCCCTCTCCAAGTCAAACCACAGCTGGGGTCATCCAACATAAAGTCCTGCTTTGGTTATAAATACATGGTCATTGATACCATCAAAGGAACCTTCCACCCTGACCATTGATTTTAGTCTCCCTGTCCAGTGATGATGTTTATTCATGTAAGTTTATAAAATAAACAACAAACTTATGAGACAATTTTAAGTCAAACTATAGAAATGAATCAGTCAACTGAAAATACAAATTGGAAGACAGAAATGAAAATAATGAAACTTATTTTAATTTACCTCCATTAAATTTACCAAAAATTTACATTGAATTTACCTCCATTTAATACATTAAATTATTATCATTATTAGTACATTAATTAATTAGTACATTAAAGAAATTTACCTCCATTGAATACTTTAAATTATTATTGATCCCAAAAGTTGGGGACATGTGAAATAATTTACCTTTTCTTTTTAGTTAATCTTGAAAGCTTTCAGTAAAAATAAGCTTTTGACTTTTACAAGAAGACAAACAACAAACTCCAACAGAGTTAACATCTAGGCCTTCATTAGTTGAAATTTTTACTACAAATTGTTGGGACAACTACACAGCCAGAAAGAACAAGCTTGTTCATCTCAGCCTGAGTGTGGCTAAGTTTTATGACAGGTCCTTTTTGTTAAAATACAGTCACACACACACACACACACACACACACACACACACACACACACACACACACACACACACACACACACACCCCTCATGTTACATATGCATAAACACTCACAGGGCATTATAGCTATTCATGCCAAGGGACAGTAATGTCAGAAAGAACATTGTTGATTACAAGGCGTGAAATTGAGATCAAGTTATGAAAAGGGAGAAAATTGTGGCAAGGAACCAATCAGTTTACATTTTGTAGGGTAAAAATCACTTTTGATTTTTTTTTACTTTTCTATTCCTTTTTTTGTTTGATTACAATGGCCGTATATATGGTGCATCTATGTATATATGCACTTATGTACATTCATCTGTCATAACTGGTTATGGATAGAGAAGCCATTTACTGTATCTAAGGAAATAATTATCGAAAAAGTAGAATGCATTCGCATTTAATTGAACATTCATTTTTCTGTCAAAGGAGAGGATATGAAATTCATTCTGTTTTTATGACATTCATACGAAAATGACATTGAGAAATGCAACCTTAATTAGAACTCAGTTGTATCACTCTCAACAACATTGCAACATTTATCCTAATAAATATATATATATATATATATAATGATGGATTTTTTTGTTTTAATCCAAAAATTTTTTATTATTCCAAACATTACTTCTAGTGGGTACCCACATTTGAGAATAGCCTGTTTCTTCAAACAGTGTTTATTTCATCTACTGACCTCTGTGCATTCAAGAAAACTTAACAATTAATTAATAATAATTAATTCAAGAAAACTTAATACAGGCTGATAGATGAAATGAACACTGTTTAAAAAATGGAGCATTCTGCTTAAATCTGGGTATCCACTAATAATAATATATGAAGTAAAAATAATATATATAGATGTTTCCACATAAATGCACTGAGCTAACAATGTATCATGGTGAGTGTAAGGGAGGGTCACCACGAAAGAGATGCATGTATTACTTTAAAAGGATACTAATCTTATATAGTATTAATGACATTAAATGGGTAACAGACTGCTGACAAGCCATTTTGGTGCCATAAAACTTTACAGACAGCTCCAGCTTTCATTGAATCAATCTACAGACCCAGCAGCACTCTTTAACTATTTACAGCCATCATTCCTTTTCCTGTGCCAATGGTAGAAAAACCTATACTGTCCTGTCTTTTAGTAAAGGGCTTTCCAATCACACATATATATTAAAAAGGCCTACCAGTATTTTTATCAGTGTACATAACCATAAGCATATATGTTACACAGATGAAATTTTGCTGATGGCAGACTTAGAAACTGAAAGAAGCAAAGGGTGTTTCATTAAGACGGATTATATATAAGGATGTTTCATTAAGATGGATCAAAGTCAGCAGTAAATAAATCAGTGTTACTAGTGAAAATTTATTTCTTTTGCTATTGGATCATGTTATTTAAGTCATGGCAATTATGTGTGAAAAATAATATCACCTAAATGTCTGCCAAATCTGAAAGAAAAAGAAAGTCATTAGACACTTAAACTTAATTCACATTTAAAATTGGTCTAAGTTATTGGAACACAAGGTAGCAAAGAAAAGCAAGAAAGGACTAACTATGAACTCTAAGAATGTGAATGATTGTCAACAAAAGAGACAATCCAAGTTATGAGTTACATATTGGGGATATCAAAATCAAGCAGGCATGTTATATTAACTATTTGGGTAGTGTAATAACAGGCAACAAATAGAAATCTGAAGACACTTATGAATAACAACAGAAATCTGAAGACACTTATAAATGGTGAAATATTCCTTTCAGAAACTGAGCAAAGTATTAAGAGACCAAAAAACACCCTTTTAATCAAAGAAAAGGGATATTGCTCTGCTGTGTAATGTCCAATCTTCTATATAACACTGAATATTAGACAATGTCCTCATAGGTGAAGAAGCGACTTGAATCAAGCCTTGTTGGATCTACCAACAAATGCCAAGAAATCCATTGACAGAACATGTGAGAAACGAGGAAGAAGGAAAAGGAAAAAGATTTGGAGAATTTAACACACACAAGTTATCATGAGAGTAAGAGAAACAGGAAAAAACTGTAAACAAGTAAATGGAAGGCAGAAGGGGGACTATAAAGATAAAGAGGAGGAGTAAAGGGGAAGAGTTACTTTGAGCAACAAAAGACATGAAGATTTTGAGAGCCATGATCACACCTGCCTTGAAAGATATGGCATATGATAGAACTATGAATATATATAATCTATAGATGAACATGTATTTTACTGAGCCATGCACATGTATTTACATTGCCTTTTCTTTCTATATATATAGGTATATCTCAATGTATACTAGAAATGTTATAAGTGGATTTATGTTGAAAGTATTTAATAAAACAGTTTCAGATGTATACATGCAAATAGCTCAACATATCAACTGAAATTAAATTTAAACTATTTTGAAATAAAATGTGTAAGTCTGTGTTTGTTGCAAGAATTAGAACCATCAATGGAACTGATTTTCTGTAGAATTGGTTCAGTAGTTGGGTTAATTTAAAAAATGCCTTGAGCAAGGCAATTTCTTTCAAGGACATATGAATGCCCTTGTCTTTTCTTGGCTTAGGTTTAAATCAACCCAAACAGATAAGACATGTAGGCACCAAACAATATGGACAGGATGTCTCTGTAAACATTATATAAAATGGAAATGTCTTTTGAGCCTGACACTTGATCCTTGTCAATATATTGGCTTTTTGAGGAAATAATATAAGTATCTACTTAAAAAAGATCATTAACATTCCCTGACTACTGTATAAGCATTAATATACTTGAGTCCCCTCCATACATTTCTGAGTAAAATGCAAAAGAACTTTGGAATGTGTAACAAAATCAGTTTGTTCGCTTATCAATGGATGATATCCCACAAGTGTATTTATCAAATGATAACCTACAAGTGTAATTATTAAGAGAATATATTCTACAAGTGCATTTATCAAATGAATATATCCTACAAATGTGCTTATCAAATGAATATATCCCATAAGTGTATTTATCAAATGATAATGTCCTAAAAGTTAGAAATTAAAAAAAAAAATTTTAGAATATTTTGTGTGCTTCTAAAATTTAAAAATTAATTTTTTAAAATATAAGAATATTTTAGTTTTAAAATATATATGAATGCTGTTTCCAAAACATAAAATGTTCTGAAATCATTAAATGTTTTTCTGATAAGCACTTTGTTAGAAAATGTCTAAACATATGAAATGTCTCATGAGAAAGCAGATGTAACAAAGACAAAGTCTTTTCTTTTTATTAAAATCTTGTTGTCTCCTCTGACTCTATTTTTTTAAAGAACATGTGATTTTCATTTATTAAATGTAACTGCTGACCAAACTATGTCTCACACATTAACTGAATTTAGACCTCTGATATATAATCAAGAAAAATTTGAATGTAGACCTCTTGTTACATTTATGTCATAGTCAGAATAAAGTTTAAGAATTCTGCAGATTTTGACAACTAAGATTATCCATTACCCCATGCCTCTGCTATTCTTCCACATTTTGCCTGTATCTTCTCTTTCTTTCCCTTATCCTTTCAAGTCTTTGTTGTATAGCTGAATTTTTATCTAAACATTAAATTCATATACAAGAAATTGTAATAATAAAAATAACACTATAACCTTAAGATCATGAATTACATAATAAGAAATGATGTGAGTTCAATCCCTATCAAGGATAGTGAATATAGACTACAAAGAGACTAGAACACAAAAAAACAGTAATATATTTTCCTTGAAGCTTCAAGAAGTTTGTATCTGACAATCCACACCTTAAGGTCTGTGCATAGTGTAATACAAATGTTAGAGAATTCATTGAATGATGTCAATATTGATTGAGTGATTGATTGATACAAAGGCATTAAAATACAAATACAGAATTACACAGTTTTGCATAAGCATTTTTAATAAGAAAAAGATGAATTAATTTCTTTCCTTGCTTTAGATTTATATTCATCATAATATACCTTTTATTTTATTTTTCATATTTTTTATAAACATAAAATTTGATAATAAAAAATAAAGCAAACATTTGTTGGGTTTGATATTGAGATTTCTTGGGCCTGATAATAAGTGTGGAATAATTAGCTAAATTTAAGTGTAATTGGCAGAATTCTCAAGAAATGGAATTGACAAAGTTCTCAATAAACAATAAGAAAAGAAAGGAAAAGAATGGTAAAATAATACTAAACAAATAATATATATGCAAATCAAAACTAGGCAGAGCAACAGTAATAAGGCAACAAATTGCCAAAGTAAGAATTGTGTTCATATGTAACCGGGATAGAGTTAAGTGATTGTAGGAGACACGGTGGAGTAATGGATCGCAGCTCAGATTGAGGAATCAGGGAGCTGAGTTTGAATTGCATTCGCATCCATTACATTCACTTACATGCTAATACCCATGGGAAAGATATAAATACTCTTTTACTCCCCCCAGCTATGGGTAAATAGGAGGACAGATTTGGTTCTATAGCCTTGGATGTTAATTGGTATACCACAGAAAGAAATGGCAACCTACTGTGGGAAAAAATCTGCCTCATCAGTCATGTATTGAAAGATACATGACCACCTAAGCGTGTATCACACATGACACATAATTGACTGATTGTAGTGTTCTGACTTCAAGAAAAAACAAAAGTATGGTGATTTTGTAAGCATAGCTTAGATGTGGCACAGGGACAAAAGTGTGAAGCACCCAGTGGGGATTGAACCCACTATTCAGTCATAATTGTTTTAATGAGACATTCTTGCTAACACCATTCTTGCTAACACCATGTTGGGAATAGAAAATATGGTAGTTGAGACCAAGTGGTCCATTTTTATTGATTAGGAACAAATCCCAGCATGCATCTGTAGGATTTGTCTATAAATTTGAGGAGGGGGAATGTTTAGCAATCTCATTCCTATAAGATTAG